TGGAAGTGCGGCACAGTTTTGTGTGCTGACTTGGTTAAGCTTTGCACCCGCTAGGTGGGGATCAACGTTTTTAGATGAAGTCAGTTGGGAGAGAGCGCACACCCGCCATGCCACGGAAACGGCCTCAGCCAATCTAGGTGGTGTTGCCTAAGCCCGTATCACGCGAAGCGGTGGCGCTGTGGTCACGTAAGGATCGGTTCTCCGAGGTTCGTCTGCTACTGCTCCGCGTTGAACGGCGCAAGGAAGTCATATCTGAATCAACGCGAAGCCGTTAAGGCAACTTAAAAAAATATTTGAACACTGTCACCTAGTAAAAAGTTGTGCAGCAATCCCGGTACTGTTCTACTCGTATATAAGCAACATTCTCCTGCTTATGTTGATTTTAAATTTTTTTACAACCCGATATTTGACTATGAGGAGCCAAATTGGAGTAGATTTCGTGGCTTTCAGTTGGGGTTGCGATCATGTGGAGACCTTTTGTTGCGCTTTTGTATGTTGTTATTTGTTTCTCAATTAATTATATCAATTTACAATAATAATGATAACCTCCAATTATGCATTATTGTGTGCATTGTTTCGGGGGCTCTTTTCCGGCTAATCGCTTGTGGCAGAGGATTTAACGGTTTTTATTTTGGTCGAATCAGATTCACCGCCACCCTCCATCAAAGCCACATGCGATTAAGTATTGGGTTTTACATGATACCTTGCTTTACATCCCAACCGCCTACTTATAAAGCCGGTCGTGCTTTATATACACCAATTACCTCAAAACAAGCTTGCATAACTTTATCTCCGCATTTACTTGAGAGTTTCCTCACGAAGGGTCCTCACGAAGTTACCTTGGCTTGAAAATAAGCCGTTCTTTACCGCTGCAAAAAAAGGCTTGTAGTGGTGAAGGAGGAGGCACAAACAAACATGTACAAGCATAATGCACAGCCAGTACAATTACATCTTCTGTTTGCAAATTTTATTTACATGCAGCACTCTTTATAGCGCCATAGCAGCATTTGTTTACCAATGGCGTCAGTTCCCCTTCACTCTACATCAGCTTCACAGTGAATAAACTGCCCACCTCAGTGAAGAGGTGGGCAGTGGCAACATGTTCATCTTGGACATTAGCCTATATGCGGAAGGGCTTGACATCTTTAAAAGGAGGCACGTCATCAACCATTCGGCTTCGTAGCGCTTTCCTCTTGCTGACTTTGCTTTTGAAGCTTTCAGCGCTGCACTGAATGCGAGCTGTTGTGCTACAGGAAGCACCTGTATGGCTTTATCTACTTCGCCACTAGTGAACAGGTGCGCCTTAAAAGCACGAATTTCTTTCTTCGCTCTTTCCCGGAAAACTGTGGCTCTGATAACCTTCTTTCTTAGGTTCTGTGCTCTTGACCGAACCAATCGGTGAGGCTTGGTTTGTCCTTTTGCATTCTTTGCTCTGCTTCGTTTTTCTCGAAGGCGGAGATTTTTTCTTGTGCTTTTGCATAGTGGGAACAGGCTTCGCTAGGACAGCCCACAACAATTTACGTGCCTCCACACGTCCTGTGTCTTTACAGCACTTGTTGCCACCAAAATAGAAGGAAATGAACTACAGCTGCATCCCGTGCACACTTTCAGGTTGTCCACATAGCTGAGGAACGCCAACACTTCCTTTAGGCTCGAGAGCCGCCGCGAGATTTCCGAACCGCGTTCGCGGTACACGTTCGGAGGAAAGAGTTTTCCCCTTGAGCTCACAGCCACGCCGAAGTCTTTTCTCACAGCAACGGCCCTGTCAATAACAACAATGCCACTGCTCTCAGCAATTTTGAAGAAAACGACGTCCTCAGCTCTGAGCCCCACACCCCAAGACTCAAACTTTGTGCGTCCTTCGAAGGCTTGAAGCCTTTTCCCTTCTTCGGAACACAAATCTGGATCGGAAGATGCCCAAGACTCGTCAGGAACGCTGTTTTCTTTGTCGTCGCAGCATAGGCCATCCTCTCCTTCGGTAGAGCGAATCTCTGGATTCTATGCCTGTCTTGCTTTCGGGGGTTTCCTTTTCGGCGGCGTCTTCGGTTTTGACAAGTGAACCCGGATATTAGGGAAAATCCGGGGAACCACCCCAGGCCTAATTGCCCACCTTCCACGCAGAATCTGAACTGTGCTGCCGCAGATGACGTGCTCGTAACATGTGATGAGGTCCTGAGGTTCAAAATGTACATCGCAAATGTAGGTCTTCGTCGTCACCTTGAAATTTTTTCGACAGCAGCCCAAGCCTTCAGCACTTCAGAGTCATTCGGCGGTTTGAAGAAATGACGCGGCACGGCAGATTTCCCTTGCGAGCCGTATCCACTTGGACAGCCGGGCGCGCTGCAGGTCGGCATGGCAATGATGTGTTAGCTTCCGCACACAAGGCAATGACACATGATGAACGCGTGAGACACCACACTGCCGCACAACGAGAGACGAATGCACAGTGGTGGTGGTAGTGGTTAGAATGAAGAGGAAAAAGGCACCTAATTTCTGTCTGCCTTCAGGCGACACGGCGCAGTGCCTTATAGGGGTGGGGGGAAGAAGGGATAAAAAGAATAGAAGGAAAATAGACGGAGAAGAAGACAGCCAAGCGAGAGAAAAAAAGAAGGAGATAGGAAAGTGAGGATCCGGTCGAAGCAGTCCAAGGGCGGGGTGCCACAATGCGGGAGCTGCACGGCGTCAGGAGACCGTGGAGGGCGAACCAGTCGGCGGGAGCTACGCTGATGTCGGAGATCGCGAGGCCAGCTTGAAATCCTGCGAGCAAAATCCGAATGCACAGTAAACACCGCGACTCAATGCGACGCGGGCAGCCGGTCGCCCTCCGCCGATCTCAGCGCGACACCAGCGCCGCTCCTCGGCTGGCATGTGGCCGCCTCCAGCGCGGTGTTTTCCAAGTGACCTAATCTAAAAACGTTGGTGGGGATAGTTGCACCCGGTGGCTTGTCGTTCTTTAAAACCGAAACTGAAACCAGTTCAGTATAACCAGAAAATGACCAATGATCTGTCGCACGCTACCGAAAACGATGTGTCGTTTTATGGCTTACAGACTCGCGGAAACACACTGCAGCAAAAAAAAAAAAAAAATAAAATGTTTGTGTCAGCACCTCTTTAAATGGTAAACAATGATAGTTTCATTTCGAGTACATAAAAATATTCAAAACTGGGGGAATCAATCATCTGGGCAATAGAAATAGCTTTGCTAGAGCGGGAAATTGGACAGAGTGACATAGAAACCACAGTGAGTTGCGCAACGTAACAAGACAGTTTGAAGTGTTTGCTGCCGTTGAAAAATGCATGGATGCCCCCCCCCCCCCACCCCAATCACCACCCCAAATGGAGTGGTTGCTTTTGAAAATGCAGCAGGGATGAGAGTAGAAAACTTTCTAGCGCCTTTTAACGCTTTTAGAATTTTACCTTCAGACCACTTATATTAGGGTTGACGACCAGATTTGTCTTCAAACGAACGGTACCTGCAATGACTCATGTATCACACATGAGTTGTGCCATATCTCTTGATCATGCTTCGATTGCTGTGTACGTCACTATTTTAGCAATGACATGGTTCTTAAAGTTTTCAGATATGTTGATGACTTTTTAATGTTTTTGAGGAGTGCCCAACCCAGCCAGTATGAGCATGCGCTACTAAATTCTATTCTTGAAAACTTTAAAAAAGAATGGGAAATGACTAACGGTTACTTTTGAGCGCCCACAAGAAGGTAAGCTTCAATTTTTAGATTTGCTCTGGAAGCTCAAGGATTGTCACGTGTGCTGGGCGTACTCCTCGCGTGCCCTGCATGAGAGAGTTCCTTCTATACAAATCGACTCATTTTAAGGCAATAACAAGACGCATCCCAACATTCTGTTTAGAATCTGCACTTTGGAAATCGTGCCATCCCCAAGGTGCAAGATATTTCTAAACTACAGTTCCAGAGGCTTTTTTTCAGCTGGCTTCGCTGGATCAGTCGTCATGTCCGAGACGCTTCTTATGAAAATGAAGCACGGCGACTCAAAAGATGCAGCTAAGTGGACAGGAAGGGGTGAGAAATGATTCAGTACATGCACAAGTCACACACAGCCTTAAACAAAAAGTGGGTAGTCAGTTCAACATGTCGTTGGCTTTCTCGGCCACGATCAAACTCGCGCCGCTAAGCCGGCTCACCAACTTGGAGGAGCGAAATGGGGGTGGGGGCTGCTTCAAGAATTATGAAAAATATTAGGTGTGCTCACAACGAGCTTCCCCTATCCTGCTATAATGTATACGTCGGCCATACTGAGCGCTGCCCCATTGACTGCTTCAGGGAACGCGATATAAATCTGAATGATACCCCATAGACCACTGCGTGGCGTACTCTGACTTTGAACTGGGATTCCGATTTGCAAAAAATTCTAGGCAAAAGTAGACAAAAAAGGGGTTCGCGAAGTGCTAGGAGCATTTTCGATGAGAAAGGAAGAGGTGGAGTGCATGAGCGACACATTCATTTTTGTGTACAGAGCTGAAATCAATTTCTTTCGTGCTTTGTTTAAACTTTCTTGCTATTTTGGTTGTTGGGGCAGTGCGCCTGTGCAGCGTGTTGATGTGTGAAGGTATAGACATTTCTTCTCAAAATTGATTATTGTGCGCCTGTGCTCGTCTGTTCCTCCTCTTATGTTCACTGTAGTAGCGCAACTCAAGACGGTTTCTCTGTCAAAACACTAACTCGCGTAACAGTCAACTCTTCCATATCGGTAAATTGAGTTTGACAATGCTAGTGTTTTGGCTGTTGAACTACCACTTCCCGCGCACTCTACTCGTGGCAAGCGGCTCGTTATCGGTGACGAAGAGGAAGAGATAACTTTAATGCTGATGTCGGCTATACCACTTTGCTGCTGCTCCGCGAGCTTTTGCCACAGTGGTAGCTTGTTTTTCACGCAGGCTTTGCGTTTCTTGGGCGAAAGTGCATTCCCGATAATTTTTATCCATATCACACAAAGTACGTGTGGTCTGGAACGCACTGATTCTTCATCGTCATGTGCGTCATACTCATCATGAACACAGACAGCGCACAATGACGGACAAGCCTATCAAGGTCATAGTCACCGTCATGGCGTATAATGGGTTTCTTGCATCAACAACAGCGTCAGCGTCAACGTGAGCGCGCATAACCCACAACGGACATACCTATCTCTTAAGGTGCTTCTCCGCTAAAAAAAAACGAAAATATACTGACTCAAGGAGACCATTGAACAACGTGAGAAACGCCCGTGTTTTTATAGGAGCATATACAAAGACAAATAGTGCCATTTTGAACGCAAAAGTGCTACTGACTATTATGTCTGCTGCTCCGTGCATGGAAGCTGCGTGCAGTCTTTTCAAAACAAAACCATAGGAGTGAGACGGGGATGGCTATCTGGTTACGGCGTTAGCTTTACAGCACATGCCCGAAGAAAAATTGGGTCTGCAGGGTGGAAATTATAAAGCAATACTTGCATTTTGTACTCATTACTTCTGGCAAAAGTTTGTTAAATGTTAGGGTAATGATAGCTTCAGTAACAGTTCATAAACATGCTGAATCCCCAGGGAACCTGTCAGGAATCGGAAATTCCTTTTATATAGCGCGAAATTGACCCACCATGGTAGTGTAGTGCTAAGGCCTGCTGAACCGCGGGTCGCGGTGACCAATCTCGGCTCCGGCGGCCGCATTTTCGATGGAGGGAAAAATGTTTGAGGCCCGTGTGCTTATATTTAGGTTCACGTTAAAAAAATCCAGGTGGTCGAAATTTCCGGGCCCATGAACTACGACGTCTCTCATAATACTATAGTGATTTTGGGACGCTTAGCCCCATAGTTACTACAGCAGAAAGATCAATAGATTGAGCTTTAGCTAGATATAATTTCTTGTCGCTTAAGTTGTCGCTTGACGCCATATAGGTGTGTCCTACTCAAATAAATGTATGGCAGATGTCAGATGTGGGCGGATAGGCATTTTTCAAAGATATATGGCGCTCTCCACTTTTCAGCTCTCATTTATACATGCGAATATAAACAACTACAAAAATACTACTACTACTACTGCTACTACTACTACAACTACTACTACTACTACTACTACTACTACTAGACTACCACTAATACCGCTACCTTAATTGCTGCTCAACGGAATACAGTGCGTATTTGAAAGAATAGTACACGCAATAAAACACATGGAGGTGCATTGAGTGGGGGATGATCAGTGGAGCTTTTATTGAGGCTCTGGTGCTTTAGAATATGGTTTCTTTAAAAAGCCATGGTTGCATACTTTGTTTATTCGGAGGGCTGTTTAAAGTCTCGAAACGAAATAGAATACGAGATCACTGCGTATGTGATGTAGAATATGCTAAACTTCCGCTCTTTTGGGGCACATGACAAAACTTAGGTAACAAATAAGAAACGTTTTTTTGTAGAAACCATAATCACCATCCACGGTGGCAGTACCCTCCCGTGGAAGGCTTCAGTGCAAATAAAGCCACTCACGCAATGACCTACAGGACCTGTGACAATGAACTATTCAATTGAGGCCTACCTAGAGCCATATGTGATCGCATAGCACATGAGTGCAGCAAAGGCTTTGATTGATCGCAATATTTTAATATATTTAATGTTTGATCGTGTTTCTTTCAGTTGTACATCTTTGATCACTTTTCACCTAAACGGTGCATTAAGTACCACAGTGGTGTTTGAGTGAAGTAGAAGCATGAGACGTCTTTTAGCGAGTTCCATAGGTTTCTGATCACTCACTCTGTAGGATCGCAGGTCTTACTTGTCGGCAGAACACATGTCAATCTGTTTAAAATCACCTTCTACAAAGAAATCCCAGTCTAATATTGACCCGGACGTGAGTCAGGGCAAGCCTGGACCATGTCCAAATTCCACCACGAAACTCCCCTTTGTGCTAAGAGAGGTGGTTTTTGTCGGGTATTCATAATTATCTTGAGCTTAGCAGGTCACCATCGGATGCTTCTCAAGTAACGGCGATCAATTTCTGCTCTGACAGAACGAAGGTCCCTCGGCCGCCCTTAGCGCTGGCGCGAAGTTCCCGACTGTGGTGGTGGGGTCAGTGAGCACGGGCACCTAGGGATAGAGCAATGCCAGAGGAAGTACTTCCGCTGGTTGTGTTGCTAATTGTATGGACAGATCTGGCTGAGACTATTATTCGTGATTCTCAAAAGACTGCCGTGAGTAGCTTGACAATTGCTTTCATGCGTGGATGCTTTTCACAACAGCTCCCAGAGACAGAATAATAGTGTAAGTTCACAAACAAGGTTGGATTTACAAATGAAGTTTACGTGAAAAAACCGTATTTTCGAAAACATAACCATGCCTGCATAGAAAAACTGCCAACACAGCGCATAACGCGTAGCTATCTCAGCGAAAGCCGAAAGGGCCGTCTTTTGGAGTGTTTTCTTAAAATGCTATTTGGGTAACTGTAAAATCACACTTTCAGGGTACCCACTAAGCCAATAATAATCACAACATTTGTTTAGTAGGGAGACATTCCGTAAGCCACACTTCGTCTTTTTTTTTGGAAAAGCGTTTTAACTATTACAGACTTGTAAAGAACTTTGCGCAATTTTTTATGCTGAGGCTGACGACGATTAAGAATTATGCCTGAAGCTTTTGGTTTAGGTTGCAGCACTTGACAACCAACTCGAAGCGCGATTCACTATGTGTGGCGCTTGGTTGTTGTTTTGCCGTTTTAAAACACTTCAATGCTCATTAACGTGATTACTTCGACGTCATCAAGCCTGCCATATAGGCTAGTAAGCTGCGCAGTTTCCAGACCCGGCGTGGCTCTGTGGTATACGATACTGGGTTGGCGCGCAGTATACCCGGCTCCTTATTCAATTGAGTCTTTGGTGTTATTATTTACTTACTTTTTTTATTTTGCACGGTAGTGGTTATTGACAATGATGGCGGTGGCAGTTGACAACTACGCCGCTGCACGTGACGCTTGTCGTGATTTCAAAAAAGCTTTCACTGTGGAAAATAACAAAAGCGTCAAGTTAACATACAAACACGCTCCATGCCCTCTTTCGTTATCTTAGCACACACCTTGACAAGTGTGCAACAGCCCCACTGCGGTGGTCTAATGGCTAAGTTACTCGGCCTCTGACCCGCAGGTCGCGGGATCAAATACCAGCCGCTGCAGGTGCAATTTCAGTGGAGGCAAAATTGCTGTAGGCCCGTGTGCTGAGATTCGGGCGCACGTTAGAAGACCCCGGGTGGTCGAAATTTCCGGAAGCCTCCGCGACGGCGTCTCTCATAATCATCTGATGGTTTTGGAACGTTAAACCGCACATATTATAATCAAAACGTGTGCTAAAAAATTTAGATTCCGCAGCTACTGAAATTATTTATCGAGGATATGCACCGAAGGTTCAATGACACAATGCAGTGCCCAATCTGCTGGTGTGAAAAGCTTCGCACAATTCTCTTTCCAAGTTTTTGCCTGCCCTCTCGAAAATCAGGGCAGTGTCAAAATGAGGGGTGCATCCAACCTTTCACAGTGCTATAGGGCCAGTGCCCTCCTGTGCCAATTAGTAGCAAATTGCCAACTGACGATTGCGTAAAACTGCCTAAGACCAGTCTATGGCTCTGTTCGGTCGCTGTTTTTGTGCAGTGTTTGATTTTTGCTCTTTTCTTGGACTACTATTACGCTGATATTCATTTTTCCTCAGTGTGCCAACAAGGCGTAAGGTGAAGACTTTGAGGGTTCGGCGCCTTACAGGTACGAGGTTCTTTTATCAAAGACTTGGCTAGTACGCGACCACTACGGTAACTGGTAGCTATCGCCACGAGCCTTATGCTCGTCCAAGTGCGTCAACCTTCATGAGTGATTCTACAGGACACAATGAAAAGCCTTGGGGCTTACACACAAGACAAAACATGATAAAGCCAGCACGTTTGCTCATTCACAACCGCGAAATGGCTCCAGTGAGCCCAGCTGCAATGTTAGACGATGAAGCTGAGAGCAGGAAGATTGGCTTAGAACAGAATTTGTTCGACGATAAAACGTCAACTTATAACCTAAGTGATGAAAAAGACATGGTCAAAGATGAACCATTTACGCTAGTTGCGAATAAGAAGCGAGGAGAAGGCATCCCAGTCGTCTTTCGCCCAACAGCTGAAGGTGCTAGTTTCTGGAAAGTGAACCCCAATCGAGCGTCAGCCGAAGTAGTTTCCGTTGCTTAAGAAAAAGTGAAGTCATTCAGAAGGACCAGAGATGGAAGCTTTAGTGTCAGCGTTGCTTCCTTAGCTTCAGCAAAGTGTCTTTTGATGTTTTCGAATGTAGGCGGCCTAGAAGTTAAGCCTTTCATCCCAGAGTCATACACTCGGAACGTTGGGAAAGTAAAGCATGTTCCTCTGCACTATTCAGACGGACAACTGCAAGAGTACTTGAGAGATGCAGGGGTTATATCGGCGCGACGGCAAATGAAATACTACCGCCAGGAAGATGGAGGAGTAACGTCGCGTCCACTTCACTCAGTGATTCCGACTTTTCGAGATGGCCGCCTGATTTCAGGAAGAATCTACTTAGGATTCACCAGTCACCCAGTGGAAGAATATCTTGGTCTAGAAACTCAATGCTATAACTGCCAGCGATTCGAACACATGGCGAAAAGTTGCCGTAACACACACTGGTGTAAGATCTGCTCAGAAGAACACCACCATAAGGAGTGCAAGTCAGTTCTTCAGCCTAGGTGCGCAAACTGTGCAGGTAGTCACGCTGCCTCATATTAAGGCTACCCGTGAAGTAAAGCTGCTGCAAAAATGCGTCGGCATGAGCTTATTTATGGAAGAAAACCGCGCCTCAATGAACCCTCCCCAAACCTTGAGATTGTTCATCCTGTACGTCATCTACCTCAGCGCACACCGCAACAACAACAGCCGACAAACACGCCAAGAGAACCGCCAAGAGAACCGCCAAGAGCACACCCGCAAGGCCACTCAAGAGAAGTACATTAATGTAACCCAACCTACGCGTCAAAGCTGCGAACGCCCACGCGACCTCAGACGGAAAGTAGCAGAACCGACAGCGCCAGTGTTCGCCCAAGCTACAACATCAAAACAACACGAAATTCTCAGCACGCTGCAGAAACTGAACCGTTCAA